GTCCTGCTTGAAGGTGACCTTTTAAGTCTGTGGCCATACTGCTCTGAAAGAGCCATGTCTACCCTCATTTAATGGTGGGCCTTTCACTGGTTTGTCCCTTTTGGACTGTGCATTTGCAGCTGGCCTCCTCTTCTGGCAGATCAGCCATCCCTGACATCAAGGAGAGGAGTTCAGCTGCCCAGCCAGAGAGGAAAGCAGAAGGGTGAAGGCCAGAGTGTGGGCCTGTTACAGTATCACAACAGCACCACACAGCTCCTCGGAAGCAGCCTTGGCTGTCACAGTGTAGGCTCTGGCCCTCCTGGCTGCACCATGAGAGTTATTATTAGCCCATGAGCCCCCCTGGCTCCCTGTACCATGGATGCATGTGTCTGAGGCACATGGTGGAGGGTAGGCAATTGGCCAGGAGGAAGGAAGGAGGGACGCTCAGGAACTGTGGGCTCAGCTTCCTGACTGTATTAGGCATCACTGTGAGGGCTGAAGAGGGCACCTAGCCTGGGGACAGCTCCTGAGGGTGGAAAGGCCAGCCCCTAGCCAAGGGACAGCCCCCTAAAAAAGTATGAAGGCAGCACCCGAGGACATCAGCTAGCTCGGGGACAGCGCCACAGAGCCTGGCTTCCTGACAGTCAACAGTCAGGGAAACACTAATGAGAGCAGGAACAGGTATTAAAAATAAAAATCAAATGAGCGTTATGACATGCGTGCGCACTGCTCTGCCTCCTCAGCGCTGAGCTGACAACAGGCGGAAGACGCACCCCAAACTCTTCCCCCCGAGAGGCGCCTCTTCAGACATGGCTGGCTGCAAAATGGGCCCGTGGTAGACAGCCCTGATATTTCTAGTAGGTAACATCTGTGAATCTGCCATGAGGCACTAGTCTTTGCTTACACACACACACACACACACACACACACACACACACACACGCGCGCGCGCGCGCACGCACTGGGAGAGACAGACAGACACAGAGACAGAGGGGGGAGGAAGGGAGAGACCTGAAACAAGCTCTATGCTCCTAAACTGGCTTGCTGTGCAGCTGAGGAGGACCTTGAACTTCTGGTTCTCCTGTCCCCAACTCCCAAGTGCTGGGACCGCAGACGCGCACACCACTGTGCACAGCTTAGAATATGAGTCACGGCCTGTGCGAACATAGAGCAGAGCTGCAGGTCTTAGAGTGAGCAACCCCACCCAGAAGAAACTGCCAAGTCACGGCTGTAACCATTGTCACCCCCGTGAACACGAATGCTTCTCTTACTCCATACCCTCGGCAGAGTGGACGTCGCAATTTTTGTCTTGTTTAGTTCTCCTTTAACATTTTCGCGTATTTATACAACACATTTTGATCATTTCTGTGCATCCTTGTCGGCCCAGAATGCCCCATCCTGCCTCCGTCTCAGCCAGGCCAGGGGCCAGAGTGATGGCTCTTGAACAGTACTGAACAGCCTTTTGAAGATGTGTATGTCTGAGGGCCTGCCTGCATGCATGTGTACCACATGCATTTTTGATGCCCTTGGAGGCCAAAAGAGATACTGGATCCCCTGGAACTGAACTGATGGATACTTGTGAGCTTCCCTCTTGGCACTGGGAGCCAGAAGAACAAGTACCGTTAACCATGGATCCATGTCCCCAGCCCCAACTCTGAGACCCTTGAGGCCCGAATTAGCCCATTGTGTGCAGATTTTTCCTAAATAAAGTATCTGTTCAAAATGTTCCCACATTTTACCTTGGGTTCCTTTTTCTTTTATCTTTACCAATGAGAGGCCAGCATACAATTCATCGACACATTCGCTTCTGCACAGGCTTGTTCCCTAACACTGTCAGGACAAGGGCTCAGACGCATGCCTGCCATGAGAGGGCTCCACCAGTGCCAAGATGCCTCCTCCTTCCCACTGCACATCCCCATGCAGCCATGAGCCGCTTCTGGTAGCCACTGTCTTGTGTCTTCTGTCTCCATCACTTTAAGATTCATCCATGCTGTCTGCTGTTGTGTGCCTTAATACCTCATTCATTGTTAATGGCCTGTTCCATTTACTGCTCGTGTTGACAGATGTTTTAGTTAGTTCGAGTTCTATTCTCTACTATTAGTTCACCACAGATCATCCGTGCAATCACAGGAAGAGATGGGGTGACTGGAACCAAGGGAGATGCGTGTTCAACTTTTTAAGACATTTTGGAGTTCCAGACCCTCCATGCCACCCACATGTGAGGTCAGACTTGGAAACCTCATCCAGTCTTCAAAGATGTAGGAGCCTAGTCAGCCTCTCACCCAGTCTATATGGTTCAGACCTTCCATCCCAGCCGGCTTGCTCTTTTTGGCATCTTCTGCACTGCCCTGAGCGCCTGTGCTCTGCTCGCCAGGACTGTGGCTCTGCTTAGATTTCTCGGCTCCTTTGTACAGGTTCGTGCTCGTTGTGCAGCTAGCTCCTGAGCAGCTTCTGCCTGTGACCACTGCCCCCAGAGGTCCCCACTGAGCTCTGCTCACTACTCTGGAGGTTTCCCAGCTGCTGCAGTTCGTAGAGCCCCATCCATAGGAGTCTGCGTTGCCAGCAGCTGGGAACAGTGGGGCAGAGGCTCATGTACCTATCCATGCTCTGGGTGACTGTGCGTCCCAAGAGCACACGGGTTCAACAGATGATCTCTGCTGTCCTTACCACCTCTCAGGACACCCCTGGTCCATCTTCCCAGCCTGCTGCATGCTCTTTGCAATGACCCTTTATTTCAGCCCTTTATTTCACTCCATTTCAGCTACATTTCTCCTCGTTTGATATTTCTCTTAAAATTCTGAAGGGCTAGGCCAGTCTTTCATCTTTCTAATCTCAGGGCCCATCATAGTTGCTTTACATTAAATATGTTCTCGGACTGTTTCTAAAATAAATTAACTAATGGTATCAGGAAGTAATGACTTTCAGCCTGGCGCTTTTCAGTGACATGTGAAATGGGGACTGAATGGTGCTCTCTTGGTAAAACTGGGGCATCCAGAACACCTGGATGGACTCTGAGTAGGTGGGTGCAGGAAGGCAGTGCCCACTAACAATTCAGGGCCAGTGATTACACAGATATAGTTGTGGGTATGTGCTCAACGCGTGTGTCAGAGTGGCACCTGGCCATACTGGCTTGGGAGGGAAATTCTCTTCCCTATGGCTTCTGGGATGAAGTAATCATCCCAACAGCCTCAAAGAGAATAAATCCAAAATTTTGTCTATGCTGGAGTCAGATTCTCTAGGATAAATATACAGAAAATAAAGCACAATTTGTAAATAATTCATGGGAAATTGGTTGCATGTTGAAACATCATGAGTGGCCACAGTTTTAATTGCTACTGAGATAGCCTGTCACCCGGTGGGAGGGGGTTTGGGAAGCCCCAAGTTCTCGGCTGGAGCCCAGGGCAGCTCGGATCACCGCTGTACTTCTGTGCTTCCTGCAGATGCTGCTCATTAGAGAGATGACTCAGCTTTCTCCTCATTTAAGCACACAACAGAAAATAATGAGTTCTGGGCTTTCACACATTTCTTTTTTTAATATGAAGAGACATCTCTCTGAACACAGAAGGGAAAATGTGTAGGGCAAAAGTGCCCCCCAGTGCTGAGCCACGGCTCTGAAATCACCCTGGCAGATGATTGCAATGTCCGTCAGTTCACCCTGGCTCGCTTTAGAAGGGAAGTAACAGCTGTGGGGAAAAGCCTGGCGTGTAGGCATCGCTGGCCCTGTGGTGGCTGCCTGTCATGTCACCCTGCTGGGTGGTGCTTTCAAGGAAGCCAAGAGCCAGCATAATGTGAGGTGGTCCTGCCGTCATGGAATTCTGGCCACGCTCAGTGCCAGCCCCCTTGCCACTGCAGTTTCGTGGCTGTGAGAGATGTGGGCACTTGCCACTGCTTGTCTTCTGGGTGGGTCCAGAGCCCACAGCAACATGGAAGCCGTCTGACAGCCTTGTGGACACCTGTCAGAGGAGCCAGTGTTCCAACAGAGTGGCGGTGCTGACATGCTTCAGTGGGAAGGCTCCTGTGCCTCCAGCTGCTGCTGGGCTCCCAGCACCCTGACAGTACTAATGAACCCCTGGTACAGTTTCAGGGAAATCTCCAGATGTTGCTCAGACAGAGAACATGGCCAAGTGAGGCAGCACAGTGAATGCTTGTTGGGAAGAAATGCTGAGCTGTAAAAGCCCCGACAAGGCAGGGAGTCCAGCCCACACACCACACCCAATCTCCCCCCTGAGCTGGTTCTCAGGCTCCAAACTGCCTTCTGGTACCCAGAGCTCTTTGATTATTTTTTTAAAGGCAATTCAAAGCTTGACACAGCCTGCTTCCAAGCTGCCCTGAAAACATCTTGGTGACCACACATTTATACCTCAAAAGCCTACTGAAGTTCTAACCCTTCCTTTAAAATGTGCTTCATCTCCAAAGCAAGCTGGCTCTAGCATCCTGGCTGAATGAGCTTGCACCTTGGATCTAACTGGCAAATCTGGCCCTGAATAGCATAGCGATTGCCCTGTGTCTGAGCCAGCCTTGGACAGAGGGACAGTGCCCAAGCCCGAAAGCCTTACTGTACTGGGTCTCATGTGGTCTTGATATGCTCTCCCAGCACCTACAAACAGGTATCTTTCTGCTGTGCTGGAAAATAAATCCACACTGCTTACTTTACCAGAAATTAGAAGGCTCCAGGGATATAGTAATTGCTGGGTTAAAAACAGGACAGCCGTGCACCAGACCTAACTCCAGCCATGTTCAGAATCTCTTGTCCTCTTGCCTTCTGGGCTATGTGTCCACTCCTGTCCTGGGCACTCGTCCTACAGACTGGGAACAGAGCTCCTCCTGAGTTTAGGTTCACACTTAGTGCAGCTTTGCACTTCTCATACTACCCAGGACCTGTGGCCATGCGGACAGCTGGTGAGCCTGCGAACTCAGCCTGTGAACTCAGCCTGCGAACTCTGCCAAGACACCTGTACCCAAGACAAACATGCAAGCAGCTAAAGGAGAATCCCAGCCAAGGGAGCAGGCTGAAGCATCACCTTCGCTGGGTGGGTCTCATGTTCCGTCCTGGGATGTGCATTCGCTGCTGGGACCTGGGACAGAAGCTCCAGATAGGACAGATAGCGCCGAAGGGTCTTGGCCAGGGCCACCTCACTCTCCAGGCTGAACCACTTGTCATTACCAGCACTCTGTTGTAAGGTCCTGGAAAGCAAAGAGAATGACGGCTCAGTCTATGTGTGACCCATGCTGAGCTGTGAGATGGGACAGATGGGAGCGTGGTATGCGTGCAGCCTCGGCGGCCTGCAAGGGCACACTGATGGTCAACACCTCCACATCTCCTCGGCCGCAGTGCTGTTTCTTAGCGAGCCCGGACTTGCTGTTCCCACAGTGGGCTGAATTCTACAGAGCCTTTGGGAGGGGCCGAGGAGTGACCCTACAGAGCTCATGGATGACGCTCTATCCACCGTGCCCTGTCACACCGCTGGCATGACAGACAGAAATGGAGCGCAGAACAAGCAACCACTGCTTGCTCTGTTTGCAGCATGAACCACAGAACTGAGCTGGCTGGCTCAGATCTGCCAACACCCAAGAAGCTGAGGCAGGGGGATGGAAAGTTCAATGCCAGCTCAAGCAATTTAATGAGGTCCTGTTCAAATTAAAGGAAATTGCTGAGAATTTCATACATGCATACATATGTATTTTATCAAGTCCACATCCAATTCTGTCTCCTACATCTCCACCATTTTCTCCTCCCTTCCTTTTCTTTATTTCTTTTTTTCTTTCTTTTCTTCCTTCCTTCTTTCCTTCCTTCCTTCCTTCCTTCCTTCCTTCCTTCCTTCCTTCATTTATTTCCTGGTTTTTCAAGGCAGGGTTTCTCTGTAAGCTTGGATGTCCTAAAATTTGCCCTATTGACCAACCTGAACTCACAGATATCCACCTGCCTCAGCCTTCTGAGTGCTGAAATTAAAGGTGCCATCTCCAAGCTTGCTCTTCTTTAAAAATCATTGTACTGGCTGATTCTATGTTAACTTGACACAGGCTAGAGTCATCTTGAAGGAGGAAACCCCACTAGGGTAAAATACCTTCATAAGATCAGGTTGTGGACAAGCCTGTATGTGCAGGACCACCTGGTCTACAGGAACGTGGGTGCCTCTCGGGAGCCACATCCCTGAAAAAACCTGACCCTCCATCTTCCAGCAGCCATCAGCTGCCAACTGTCCTTACAAGGAGTTTTTAAGGTATAGCAGTGTGGCTTAGTGACAGTGTAGGTGCCTAGCCTTGGGATCCTGGGTTCAATGCCCAGAATCAAACACACACACACACACACACACACACACACACACACACACACACACA